TAAAGGTCTTCCAAGGTGCAGAGAGGTACTAGAAAACTCTCCACGCCCTGACTGTCCCTCTCGGTTACTACTGGTTTGACCCTCGGTTACCACAGCTATAGCGAGAGGATACCTACAGGATACCTCATCACAGATAAGTCGACAGGACCTTATCACATATATATATATATTTCTTTTTTTTTTTCATTTATTATTATGGGAGGCGGCGTTATAGTTAATATTACTCATGTAGAAAGGCTCCAAAGCCCGAAAGCTTGAGTTAATTAAATAGGTTTTTGTGAGAATATTTTAATGCATTTTTTCTCAAAATTATATAGAACAAGGGATTATTAATCTTCGAATTTTCCTTAATTGATAGATATTTTCTGCTTAAAGATTTACACCCTAAATATAAATAAAATATATTTCAGAGTTTATCGAAAAGGTCTTCAACTATCAGTTTTGTTTATAAGAAATCCTTTTTCACAATCTATTTTGTTCATAATTTGAATAAATCTTTTGGGAAGGGGGACTTCAGAAATATTAACACATATATATAAATATATTTATACAAATAAATGATACACACGCATTATCTATAGTATGATTAAAAAAAGAGAGAGTTTTATAATGATTTGATATTGAATTTAAAACACAGTGTCAGTATAGCAAGCTCTATTACCAACATTAGTTTTAAAGTAGTGCTATATTTATAATGTTGCATAGATATATGAAAGAAAATGGAATAAGAAGAAGTAAATAAAGTTGAAGGAAAAGTAGACAAGGATTATATATTATAAGGTATTAAAAGATTTTTTTTACAATTCAAGGCTAAAACAAGTTCCCACTGAAGTCACAGCAGTTACGCCTCATATAAGCGGAACATAAGAAGAAAAAGGAAGAATTGAAGTATTAATTATCCAATTAGTCATTTTTTTATTTCCTGCAAATATTCCAGATTTTCTTTTATATTTCAATATTAACTGGACTTTCTGTATCAAGATGGATGTTGAGATCATCAAACTCAATAATTCTAACGTCGTTTTATTTTTCGTCTATTCATAAGAATATTTTTTAAATATTCAATTAGGCGCCAAAATTTGAAGTAGGTCACGTATAGCTCGCCACTAAAATATTTATTTAAATATTCATTACATCATTTATCATATAATATTAGTATTAAATTAGTATAAAAAAATAATATATAACAAATTTATATTCGAATTTCGCGTTGCTTTGATGATCTTGTTTTCGTTTTTGGCAGGTTTTTTTGTTTGTTTACTTTTCTGAATTTGTAATCATGTCTGCCCCGCTTACTAGCTTACTTAATTATTATCTATTGAATATATATAAAAATTGTATATATATATTTTATAATTTATAACATGCATACTACAGGAGAAGGTGTAAATTAAGATCGGTAGAGTTAACACCAGGGCGTGTTTGTGTGTGCGAAGGATACATAATCTCCAATATAAGATAGTGGCATCTGAATGTATGTTTGTTCAGAGCAAATTCCTACCCCAGACATTCACCAAACCTGATAATTAAGAGTCAAATAAAATATAAGTTTTATTTGTTTATTAACTAGACGCGCGGTATTTAAGTATTTGCGCCTATCACAGAGGAAACAAACAAAACAACAAACAATTTAAAACTTAGGATTAAAAATATTTACTAATTTACATGTATTAATCGACAGAGTTATTAAAATTTATAAAAACAAAGTGGTTGGTGTAAGAGAGATATATTATTTAGATCTGAGTACAATTGATGTCTCACTTCTACAAAGTTCGGACAGAGAAAGATAAGGTGAAGAGAAGTTAAAACGACACTTGAAGTTACACCGCATGAGTTTCTTTTAACGGAAAATCAAAATTTATTTCAAGGTGAAATATCGACTATTTCTAACCTTTTTGGATGAGGTATGAAAGGATGAATTATGAAGAGTAATGACGAACGGAAAAATAGAAGTGTCCAGTGTTCAGTTTCTCCGCAGGAAAATTTGGGGCTTTCTGATAGACTTCATTTATATAAGTAGTGCTGGAATTTTTCGTGTGATGTGACCAATGGAGTGACTGTAAAATTTGGATGGAATTGTATAGGAATGCCGTTTGGAAAATAGTTTGAATTGTGGTGTATTGTCCATGATTTGGTTGCTCCGTAGAAAGGGGAGGTGGGGGGGAGGTGCCATTGCCCCGTTAGTCAGCCACATTTCAGAGTTCCCTGTAGGCCTTCACGCTTACCGTAGCGGCTCGGGCTCACGACATCGTACTTCGCCCTACAGGGCAATCCCTTACTTGTGCTGCTTCTCCCGCCCGCCACGTAAAGGAGAGGTTGGTCTTCTGAGCAGGAGTCTGAATTCTATAGTTGACATAATAAGTTAGTTATAGGTGACATCAGGGTATCTTTTTATATGAAAAGTTTCACTACACTATAACACATTAAACCAAAGCCGTTGGTGCAAAGCCAAGTTTAAAAAAGAAGTGACACCAGGTTGTATGTGTGCAGGGTGCACCACCATCACACCTACTCCAAGCATCACAACATCTACCACCATCACCACTACGACGGCTATGACGATGATGGCTACTAACACCTTCCACCTGGTTGAGGGAAGTTGCCAAATCTTTGTTTGTTGTTTTCATGTTTGTTTGTTTTATAGTTGAATACATCTATTATAGAATTAGTTGAATACTGCCAAATCATTTATATATTTTTCTTTTACTTTCAATATTTATCCAAATTTTCTTTAGCTTTGAATAAGAATCATTTAAATATATATATTTTTTATTTTATGAAAGAGATTTTATTCCAATTTTGTTAATTTCATATTGTATGGTGCTTATACGAGTATCTAAATCGTAGTGTCATTTTAAAAATCATTATTATTCTCTTGATATTTTACTATTCCTAAAAATATTTAAACTTGAAACTCGCTCAAAAAGAAACTATTTTTCAAATATTCACCATTTGGAAAGGTTCATAAAACATTTATGGTATAAATTAATATACTGTGTGTACTAAATTCACACAGCAATCATTTAAAAATGTTTAAATCAAACGACTAACCCACACACACAAAATCCTAGTCGACATGTATCTCCATTGTTGTTGCTAATATTCAATGTGATTTATAAATTATTTATATATCCAGAATATTTATTATTTAGATTAAAATCAACAGCCCATTTTTTATTTGAAACATACAATATTTGTTATATATATTTTATATATTAGATATATTATACATAATAGAAAGATAGAGTAAATTCCTACTAATAAAATAAAAGGGGCAATTTTTGATAGAGAAAAATTAGGTTAAAGGTATAAAGATAGGTTTTAAAATAATTTGATAGGGGTCGTTTTCTTTTAAAAATAATACAAGGGTTTTACCATGAAAACATCAAGGTATATATATTTTGATAGCTATAGACTATATATTTATTAGTTAAAGTAGCTCTCCCTTTTAATAGATTGTATTAAGACAATACATCAATTAAATGCATTCAAAGCCTTGTTTGCATATGAAATTATCTTTCCGCACTAATATACCGGTATATGAATGCATTATTCTCTATATTTCAAATCATTTTATAATATAATGATACTATACTGATTTAATATATTCATCGTAGCTTCTGAAGCGAATATAATTGAATATCTCAGGGGATTGAAATATAGACGAAGTGAATAGCTTAACATTTACCGTGGTTATGATTTTTTTTTAGAAATTTTTTACTAATAAGCTTATTTTTCTCTCGATTGAGATTCTAATATTCTATTCAATATTAACACTTATATTTTCTCTATTCAAATAATTTCATTTTTAAATGCCGCTGAAATGCGGTATTCGGCTGCATAAAAATGTTGATGCTTTCTTTGTTTTGTAGTTTTTATTTACACGTTCATATTTACTTTTAATAAATATATTATTTTTGTTTACTCTTATATATTATATATATATAAATATATATATATATATTTTTTTTTCAAATATATCTTTTTTTATTTTATATTAATAACTATAAAAAAAACAATGAAAAATAAAAAATATAAAAAAGGTCAGGTGTTGATAATAAAAACAAAAAAAGTCATACTCTGACCAGACTAACATCAGCAAATATCACGGAACAAGTTAAATAAACGTTTGGCTTATGTTTTGTTCCACTAGATGGCGCTCTGCCATCTAGAAGTGCTCATGTGAGCCTGGTCAGGATATGCCTTTTTTGTTTTTATAAACAACTATTTATAAGTTCAATTATATTTGTGATAAAATATTGTTCATGTTTTTCTCTCTTATATTATATTTCTTTACTAACATTAATTATATAGTATAAATTTATATATAAAAAAATATATATTATATTTTGCTATAAACTATTTTTGAGTAAAAATATGAAAATATATACATACAAATGTAATATAGAATAAATTATTTTTGCAATTACTAACATGCTTGTATTAGAACTTGAAATATTTAAAATATAAATTCAATAAATAAATATATTATAATTTCTATAGATTAAAAACTCCAGATTTTAAAAATCATTCTAAGACATGTTTATTCCTATAACTGCTTTTAATAAAGTTTCTATCTCTGTATATATGTATATATGAATTTAAACTTTGGGGAATTTGTATTTGGATATATTAGAGGTGAGGTTTTATTAACTTTGTGTCTATATCCAATATTACGATGAAAAAGTCTGTCTTTTCTTACTATTGTTCTACCTTTGTACAAATTCATAATAAATATTTTGATTTGTATATTATTGGCTTGTGAGTGTAATCTCTCCTCCTATAATATAACATAAAATTCTATCCATTCTCTCTTATTTATAGTATTTATTTCATTAACCTAGAATTTCTCATAGACACTACAGATGTCGTCAATTACCCGGGCATTCCTTCAAACCTAAGTATTTATAAATACAAGTATCAGAGTCATCAACAATCAATTCTGTCATCGTTTGCTTTTGTGAATGGAATAAATACCCAAATATGGCCATTTCTTATAAGCATCGGTGGTTCAATGGTAGAATGCTCGCCTGCCACGCGGTCGGGTTCGATTCCCGACCGATGCATTTTTTTTTTTACAATTTTTAAAACTAATTTATATTATTATCTTATATATAAAAGTCAATGTCTGTTGTCTGTTTCGCGATAAACTCAAAAACTACTAAACCAATTGGTACCAAATTCTGCATGTCGCTTTTTATAAACCCGTATTGCTATTCTATGGCACTTCTACTATTTATTATTGATGTTATTTCAGTATGAAGGAAATTGCATTGGGGGAATTCTCGGGCGAAGCCGGGTCATTCGTCTAGTTTTATACAAGAGGTACTTTTATTAAATTCCCGAAATGATTCTATTTTTAAAAAGTAGCAGGTGTTCATGATTTGTGAACATTTAATACACAGGTATTCATTTCTAAAAATATTCCTAAGTTTTTCACACATGATATATGCATTTTTTTCTTTCTATCAAGATGTTATTGTCATCTTCTGATGCCTTAAATTCATAAACAGCGAATATTCATTTGCTTCTGTGTGGAATTTCAATGCTTTATAAATCATTCGGCGAGACATACCGAAAGAAAAACCGAAGTTTGTAAATGTGTAACCCTATTAGTATAACCGCTTTAAACCTGAAAAGGAAGAGAGAGAAAGCTCAATCCAAGATGATCCAAGACTAGGAAGAGCTTTAGAAAAGGGAAGAACACAACCAAATTGCATAAAAATACTGAAAATCGAAAAATTGGCATGAATTTCGAAAATAACGGTTCTTTTGGTGGGATTAGTTCATTCCATCAATATACGACTAAATTCCTTTCAATGATCAAGATCAATTGATTGATTGATCAATTCTCCAAATTTGTCCCTAGACACCTCACACTTGAACAGAAACAAGGACGCCTGCGAAGCAATTTTTGAAATTGTCGAAGATGATAATGAATATTTCCAAGACATGGTTTTATGAGTATGACTTGGAAACCAGATATCAATGAAAAAATTATCTGTTAAGCTATTTTTATTATAAAGTATTGGTCTACTATTATGTTTTTGTTTTCTCAAAGACAAACCATAAACCAGCATATCTATACCGATGTTTTGTTGCAGCTACGGGAGTCTATAAGGAGGTAGCTACCAGAAAAATGAGCTTCTCAGGATTGGGTTTCAACCACGACAATGCCATACCTCACTGGTCTGTTTCAGTTTTGAATTTATTGGCCAATATCATAATTTCTATACTTCTCAGGCCCTATACTCACAGTATCTTACTCGAAATAACTTTTCCCTTTAAGGTAAAATGAAAATATATCTTAAAAAGAAGCAATTCGAGTCACAAGTCAAATATTTTTGCACAAAAGTAAAACATTATTGATGCCAAACACAAATATAGTGCAGATCAAATACAAGGTATCTCAAATAAATTTACGTACTCAAGTTTTAAAATAATTATGACTGTGTTCTTCAGAATGAAGAATTGGCTAGCGATGGCTAGATCATACACACGCGAGCGAACCAGAAATTCGTTTTATTTGAAAGGTTATTACTATCGCTATGGCAATTTTTATAACGACGATAAAATATCAATAACGTATTTACATAGAATTTTGCAAGAAACTTCAAAATTCAGCTTCCAAAACTTTGGGAATAATAAATCAAAAATTTCAAACAACGCGCCCAAGTGACTAACCATTTTGAATGATATTATCTATTTAAAATGGTATTATCTGAATATTATCTGAACCTCCTCTAATTCGACTTATTCTGAAAATGACTGACCATTAGGTAACAAAAATCGGCAAATTGATCAACGAAAACCCTTGATTCTCTTTACGGGAACTCGAAGAAGAGAGACATACATCTAAACTGGAATGATTATATTCATTATAAGAGATTTAAACCATAAAAAAGAGCACTAAAAAAATTTATTCCAAGCTTCCTCACAAACAAGCAGTCCTGGCTTGCCTTTTGTGTTTACTTTTAGTAATTGTAAAAAACTGACCCCGAATGGAAGGACAAAATAATCACAAGCGATGAAAAATCTGACCCTGAAATCCACCGATTGGCACGGCCAGGGTAAGCCTAGGCTTAAAATATTGTCAGGAGGACAGAGTTTCCTGGTATTCCCTCTTATCTGGACCGACCGGTCGGGGTAAACAGTGGTGCCACGAAAAAGGAAAAAAGATCTCAGTTCTCCTCTCTGGCTCTAACCGGCTGGGTCGATTTGGCTCATGTGAATAGTAACTCTTATTTTATATTTAAAATCTCGCATATAACTAATTAAATAAATATTTAAAGTAATTCGAAGGCCTAGTTAATTATTTTTCATCGCGACAATTGTGGTGGAGACGCTGGGTAACGAGACAGTCACCAGACGAAGTCGTCGCCTTCAAGGATTGCGACCAGAGCTATCTACAGTGCTTGCCTTTCCTGCTCGGAAGAAAATGGAGAGAGAAGAAAACCTACCATTCTGCCATCGGTGAAAAGATCCCACTGTCTTCTCGGGGGGAGGTGGGGAAGATTCTCAGCGTTGGCAGAGCGACTTCCAGCGTGTGGCACGTTACAACAAGTGGGATGACTCCATGTGTCCGGCCAACGTCATCTTCTACCTCACTGGTACAGCGAAGTGCTGGTTCGAAAACTTCGAGGAAATCTCGAATTCGTGGGAGGAATTTAAGATAAAGTTTTGTGGAATATTTGAGAACAAGGAAGACACGGCTAGAATAGCCGAGAACATTATTCGAACTAGAGCGCAGACGAGTGGGGAAAACGTCGAGAGCTACATACAAGAAGTCCTCCTTCTTTGTAAACAGAGTAACCCCAGAATGTCGGAAGGAGAAAAGGTGAGCCACCTCATTAAAGGCGTAGCGGAGAAAGTGTATCAGGCACTTGTTGGGAAGGTCATCAGCACGGTGGACCAATTTGTTGCGTACTGCCGCCGATTCGAGGCATTCAAGAGGATGCGTGTTGCACCGCCCAGGTTCAACCGACTGCCCAATGTGACTACCATCTCGACCGCTGAACCTGAGAACCTAGAAGTCCTGATTAGTAGAATAGTAAAAGAGGAGGTTCAGAAGTTTATGGCTCCTCCTTCTACATTTGCTGCCCAGGATATTGACACTCCACCTCCCGACCTACGGGATGTCATCCGTAGTGAAATCCAGCAAACATTGGCTCCTATCTCTGTCCCTCGTCAGCCCGAGAGCTTCCGCCCTCGGCGACAATACCTCTCCCAGAACGATCAAGGTTACCGACGAAGAACCGAAGGGCCACCAAATAATCAAAGAACTCAGTGGCGTACTGAAGATGACAGACCGATCTGCTTTCACTGTGGGCGCCCTGGCCACGTTGCACGTTATTCCAGAGACAGACGCCAAGCTTTTGTGGATGCCAGACTTGGAAGAGAAACAGTCGATTTCGGAAGACCAAGAACGGAAAATTACACCATGGGCGAATCAGGAAGCGAACTATCCCAAGGAAGATTTAGAAACCCGTCGCCATATCCCCACCGCGGAAGATTCCAAGCTCCCAGAAGAACCTCACAATCCCCTGCTCGCCGTCCCAGCCGCTCACCCAGTCGCCGCAGTGAGGAAAACTAGATGGCGCGCCCTCTGGAGGTGTGGCCGCCACAGACGAAAATCCTCCCTGCTGTATAGCCGCTACAATGGAAAAGAACTGGATATCTGTCAACATACAAGGACGAAATGTACAAGCTCTTGTGGACTCCGGCGCTGATTACTCAGTAATTTCTGAAGCTTTCAGACGTTCTATAAAGGCTCCAGTTTTTAAAGAAAATGGACCACTTCTAAGAGCCGCGGACAAGAAGCCTATCGTGACCCTTGGTAAGTGCTCTTTAGAAGTTCAAATCAAAGGACTCGATATTATTTTTTATTTTGTAGTAGCTGCTGAATGTAGCCACGATGTTATACTGGGCTGGGATTTCTTCAGAGCCACAGATGCCATTATAGATTGTGGGGAAAACAAATTGTATTTAAGCGAAGCTGAAAAATCCTACGAATGGAAAGACCTGAAAATTTGTACTGCTATGGACTGTGTCCTACCGCCGAAATCTTTTGGCAAGATAGTTGTCACCAACCAGGATGTATTTGGCAGCAGAGATGTAGTCGTTACAGGTTCCAAACGCCTGCAGTTGGAAAAGGGACTTTTTATTCCCTCTTCCCTCGTTAGGTTCTTACATGGCAGAGCGGGGTTGTGGGTGACTAACAGTACTCACCAGTCTCAAGTGATACCTTCGGACATGAAGGTAGGAACAATGCAAGATCTAGAAGTAGGGAGCATATCTAATCTTGACGCTTGTTCTGAAATAGCTGGAAAAGACGAAGTAACTTCCCCAGATGTGAGAGATTGTTTAATTTCAATGATTTCTACTGATTTGGAGGAAACAAAGAAAAACAGATTACTCACGTGCCTAAATGAGTTTGCTGATATATTCGACTTTGAGAAAAAGAGCTTCCCTGTCTCTGGCGAAATAAAACATAAAATCGATACGAGTGATTATCCGCCTGTCAGACAGCGTCCTTATAGAGTGTCTCCCGCCGAAAGACGTGTCATTCAGAGTGAAGTAGAGAAAATGATGGAGACTAAAATCTTCCGGCCATCATCAAGTCCATAGGCCTCTCCCGTTTTATTAGTGAGGAAGAAGGACGGCTCGTTGAGATTCTGTGTCGACTATCGTCGTCTAAACAAAATTACAAAGAAAGATGTTTACCCTCTCCCTCGTATCGATGACGCGCTGGACACCCTCTCTGGATCCAGGTACTTCTCCACTATGGATATGAGATCGGGTTACTGGCAAATCGAAGTAGACGATAAGGACCGGGAGAAAACGGCATTTATCACTCCAGATGGGCTTTATGAATTTAATGTAATGCCATTCGGTCTATGCAACGCACCAGCAACTTTCGAGCGAATGATAAACAACGTCCTACGGGGATTGAAATGGGACATGTGTTTATGCTACTTAGACGACATTGTAGTCTATGGATCGACCTTTAAAGAACATTTAACACGTTTATACAAAGTTTTGAGATGCATTCAGCAGTCCGGGCTGT